TTTGGAAATTACATTTCCTTCATTTGAAGGAACCTCTAGTTTGTTGGTTGAACTCATTACGGGATTCGGCCGCGGACGGGCTAGATGGACAGTTCGGCGGCAGCAATTAAAGTGCCCCTCTCCGTCGGCAACCGGTTGGCTATTGTTGCAAGAACCATGGACGTCTCTCGCAGAAAATAAAAGTCATATGTCAGTCAGTAAATAATTGAGTCACAGAACCGTAAAAACTGTATATGGGAGAAGTACCATCTGCACTCGTTTCATAGAGATCTAGAATATCTTCCCAAAAGTTTTACAATCAATAGTTCAATGGCGAATAAAAGTTTCATTACTAGTGGTGTAACAGAATGGCCGAGACTTTCTCGTACTAGTTCTCTAATTTCTTTGGTATAGGTTAGCTTTTCGGTTTTGCCACGCCCTCTTCCTAACTGCCATATATCACTGCCCAAAATATATTTTTTCAAATTTTCTTAATGGTAGTACTAATATGACTAAGAATATTATAGCAGACAAATCTCGTCCTAAATGACAATTTCCATGGACAAATATGGAGCCGTTTTGAGAATATGTCGTTTAGACGTTTCTGTTATTGCGAAACTTTAATCTCTTTTTTACGCAAAACTTTTCAGTTTTGGAAACACGTATTTGGAAATCATTTGAGGTATTTGGACTCACAGGAGTATTCATTGTATCTCAGTCAACAGATTGTATTCATCGCAAAAAAAAATCCAACGAATAGTTTAACCGCTAGTGTTGTTATCATACAACAGACAAATGGAAGTTTTGAAACAAACCCACTTTTTTGGTATCAGGGGATCCTACAACTCGCATTTCCGTTGAAATATTGAAATGGTTTTTCCGCTGCATTACAGAACTCTACATGTACTATACGAGAAAAGATTTATCCCCTTTTTTTGTGTCAAAACTCCACACTACGAGTGTGTGTGCCGAAAAATCGCCGTTTTTGTCTCGCAGCATTATATAACTTTATCTATACTAAGTATATTAATCCGTATAATACGTAGGTATAGGGGATAGAAAAAATATATCATATGCCTTGTTAACTGAAGGTCCCAGACTCCGAGCAAATAGTATAGAAGATTTCTATTTGCTCCGACCATGTTGGATCAAATTCTTGCACATCCTGACAACTGACTTTCATTAATAAAATTTAATTTCAGTTCACGTCATATTTAAGAGAAAAAAGAAAGAAATTAAGAGACGCGGTAAAAAAAAAATACTGCAAATGTTCGATTTGTTTTTCAAAACTTAAAATCAGAAGAAACTAGTGGTGCTACGAAAGGACATATTTTCTGGCATTATTTGCAGCATTTTATATAGACAAGCGAGAATAATTTCACAGAAATTGAACATCCAGAATTTAAGGCAACCAATATATTGCTTTACGAATGCATACGGAACTTCGAAGTCATTTTGAATGTCCTGCTTATGCATATCGGATAATTAGGGGGTGGATTTTAATGAAATATATTTTTTATTTTAGAAAAATGCTTTAGTGTAGAAATTTATTTTATGTTACGACAAAAGGAAATGACCCAGTTATATATGTCATTGTCGCCGATTTCATCGATTTTTAAGGTACATGTTTCAAATAATATTTACGAGGTGTAACAAATATTCTCAATAGAATTCCTTAATACCAATATTTGGTAGCCTACTCGATTTATTCCCTCTGAAGTTGTAATGTCAACCATTGCAAGTAGGTAATCCTAGGTTCTTGTAACGCCTGTCAGCGCCATTGGCGAATAAACCTATTTCGGTATAACTAAAGACAGATATTCTGGCAAAGAACAGTCCAAATCAAAACTTTGAAAGTCGAGTTCACTTGAACGAATAGAAGAAGACTCAATTACATCAGTAACATATCCAACAGCTTGACTTGTTTATCCGAACTGATTTTGATTACAATTTTTACATTTTTCTTTGCTTTTAGAGCATTTCATTGATCATTTTTGGCAATGTTTCAGGTCTTAAAAATCCGTCCCATACTGATTATATATTTAGATTTATTCAGAAAAAAAAAAAAAATTAAAAACTGTATGTGACGTGGGGGGGAAAAGATCAATGCATATTTTCTTGAGTAACACAATCCCTTCCCGTCATTTTAACTATAAATAGTTGAAAGGTGAGTAAAAGTTTAACATAAATAAATTTTAAAAATCGCAAGATAAGCAATATTTGAAAAATTTGTCATTTTCGTTTCTGAGTTATAGAAAACTTATTTGCATCGGTCTTCTCCCCGACTTTAATTAAAGTTCATTGTACTAGTTTATTGAACATGGTCATTGTGACATAAAGGTTAAGTAAATAAAACTACTTCATCTTATTTCTCTTTCATTCATGTCGTCGTCCAACAATGAAATTCTCAGAATAACTTCTCAAATATCCATTGCTGCATAGTATAAAATTGCTTACGGAAGTAATATCAAATTTATCGTAATAAAATTTGGTTAAGAATTATGGTCACAACTTTCCTTCATATTACATTTAAGAGAGCATTTTTAAGAGAGAAAACCTAGTTGGGATAATTTTGATTAAGGTTTCCGTATTCTTTGAAAGAAAATACATCAATACATTGTGATTACAAATTGTAGAATAAGAGTAAAAAATCAAATCAGTTTTGGAATTATCAAAAAGTGTGGGGCAAAACCGAAAAGTTAGGCCAGGTCACAAAACATACTAACTAGTATGAGAAAGTCTGAGACTTTGCTAGCAACACAAGCCACTTTCTTATAGGTGTATGTATACAGAGAGTAATATATGTAGTAGAGAGAGTTATGTAATGCTGCACAAAATTGATTTTGAGATTTCAACAGAAATACTTGTTTTAGGGTCTCTTGATGTCAAAAAAGTGTTTGTTTTGTTTTTTCTTCAAAACAACTGTCTGTGAACAACACTTGCCTCAACACTATTCAGAAGATTTTTCACAAAATGAATATTCCCCAATCACTCTGGCCTGACATTTTCAAAATTTTCTCAAAAAAGAGGCTCCATATTCTCTGAATTTCTTGTAGGAAGAGAGTAAGACGCAGTAAGTCAGCATAGTGACCCAAGGGCCACTGGTGTTTCCTGGATAATTCCAGGGTAGATGAGGTTCATAACTTATCTCAAATTACTTTGTGCCTTTCATGCAATGAATACTTCTGTTTTGTTTCCAATACTGGAATATGTACTTAAGAGGATTCGTGATCTTAGTAAACCAAAAAAAACCTTCTCTCCTGGTTTTGTTTGCAGGATTTTTAGAACAACCTCATTCAGTATGTTATTGAAAATAGAAAGTTAAATTACTAATAGAAGTTATGCTGTTCCGATGGATTTCTTTGCAGTGTGGCAGGCCACCTCCAGATAGGAAGAGGGGTGGAAGTAGTCCTAGTAATACCCTGAGCACTTTCAGAGCCACAATGCTCTGAATACAGCTCAATGCCCCTGCCCTGCCTAATATTAATGTTTGTTATTCTGTAGAATTCAGAAATATAAAGGCTTTACTTCTAAACAATAAAGCACTTTCTTCTATAGTGAAAGTCTCAAGTCTCAACTTTTGAAAATAGTTGTTCTACAATTTTTAGAGCTTCAAAAACAGTATGCACTTTGTCATGAAATAAAACAGACCACAGAAGATTTTATATTTTGGTGTAAATAATTTTATTTACATCAGGAGGGGTTATTGCTGAAGTACTTAAATATAAAACATTTAATTCATGTAGTACTCCATTTAATGGATTGAAAATTAAAATGGTGTACGTAATTATTTCTACTCAAGTACATCAAGATTGTTCTCTTTGCAACTAATCTCTTCTATTTCACTTCATCAGAGTTGTTTCCCAATAATACATTTTGATAATTTTTCCATTCTTGTCTCAGTATACCAAGCATGACTTACATGACACAGGTTTTCAAAGTGGCATTTATTAATTTTTTTACAACAAATCTATTATTGGGCAAAACTATTGCACTCAGAGCTACAAATCATACATATATTTTATCACTATAAACATTAAAACTTAGGTACTTCATAAGCCCATTTTCATTATCTTGATTAGGCTGGCAGAAAAGAAAGAAGTCTTTTTTTTAAATAATATTTACAATCACATTTCTCATGTTGCATTTATAAGTATCTATATTTTATGAAAGTTTTCGCATTTAAAAGTAATAAAATTAATTTATTATTAAAATAACAATCGCAAAAGAGCAAATGCAATCAGCTTTCAAATTGAAGGGGGGGGGGAGAGAAAAAAAGAAAGAAAAAAAATTGAAGTAACAACTCAAGGAACAATTGTGCTATTACAAACTTAAGAATATTCTTAACGATTGACCAAGCGATGACTGTTGAGAAATGCAGTTGCTCTAAACAAATCCTTCTGGAGTGGAGCACAAGAGGCTTTACTTGCTCATAAATGTGCTTTAAATATCTACACACCAAAAACAAATGTCAGCAGGATATAAAAGTCCATTCTTTCAATACAGAATTGTACAGAAAATCATAATTTCTCTTATTATAATTTTTTTAAAAACTAATATAAAATAACTTTGTAAGATGACAGTTGCATACTTTGCTAACTGTTTCATTTCCACATCACATGAACATTCACAACTACACGATTCACTGATCTAGATATAATTATTTCTGCTTTTCAACACGGTACTAGATAAATGATCCCTCAAACAAAAATCAAAAGCATTTGTAAGCACAATTAGGTTTGTACCCAATCATTACTAGCATTAAAAAATTCAATTTCTATCAGGTACAGCCTTCAATTATTGCGTGTAATGTTACACTAAAACATTATTTTAATTAGCTGCAGAAGCAACGTCAAACAAGGTCATAAATACACTTAGGCCAGGTTTGCAAAGTACCAAACACTATTTGCAACACACAATCATGTCAGGTTAAGAAAATTGTTTTAGAACAAAGGGGGGAAAAAAGATATAAAAGAAATATTTTGTACAAAGTTTGAATAATACAATGTGTTATGGCTGCTTTCCTTGTCGAAAGCAAAGGTTGGACTTATAATTTTTCCCCCCTTCCTTTCCATGTATACAATTTAACAAAACTTAGAACATTGTTTCAAATTCATTTGTTACTATTTTTCAAAACAATTGTATCATTTAACTAAAAACAGCCAACACCAATAAGTGATATGGATGAGATGCAGAAGATAGATTGAACATCCAGCATGATGATATGACAGTGAAAAATTGAAAGAAAGTACATCCGCACAAATGGCAAAAATTTCATGCACACCACACTCCACTAACAGATCACCTCTGCTTTGTCAGATCAGTTAGAAACTTTGTTTTCCATTCCTTTCATCACACTCAAGCATGATGTCTTGCTGCCAAACTCAATTCACTAATAAGCCAGATGGAAGCAGGTCCTCAAGGCCAAGTAATTAACTTTTTTTCTTTTTTCTTCTCAGGTTCTTGTCCTGAAGTATCATTTAGCTACAAATAAAATACATTGTCACAATGAGTATTCGCAAGACATTTAGCACCAAATGTAATAAAAATGAAACAGTCTTTCAGCAGGAACAATTTTAAGAACAGTTTTGCAAACATTTTATTATTCAGAAAATCAGAAGCACTTAAAATTATAGTATGTGAAATATAGTATTATAAATCATAAGACTGAAAAGAACACCAAGTCCAAGAAAAATACTGTCAATGATGTACTCCATCACTGTTGAACATTGAAGTTCTTCCATTAGTCAATAGACAGCTCTGTTTCCTTGTAGTTTACAGAACATTAGCACTTCTTTTCCATGATATAATTAAAGAATTTTAAAATGCATGCCACTGTATCCAAATGGGGAAACTCTTGGATCAAATTATACATCGCAAAATAAAAGCAATCTCTAGACCAGTCACAGTACTCAAATTGCACAATTTCCACCTTCAAAATTTGAAACTGCAAATTCTGAAATATACAAGACTATTCCTTTTATTAATTTTAAGTTAAGATCATTGAGAATTTTCAATTATTATTTGCAGTTCTTTGTTTTCTTACAAATGGAAGTATTTTATTAAATATGAGGGTTTTATTGGAGAATCCAGAACTAAGTACTCATTGACAGAAAATGAATTGAATTGTTATCATTCATTTATCTCTAGCATACTTATGGCAAGTGGCTCTTCTTGGAGTCCCGCCACGTAAAATAAGGCAAATTCAATTCAATTCCTCAAATTTTACCATGATTAATACAATCAAATTCAACATAAGAATTTAAGTGGGACTTACCTTCATGGAGGCACTAAGTGATCTTTTTAAGATAACTTTTGCAGTACCATTTGGCTTTTCTTCGACACTGGGTGAAGTATTAGTCTTATGTTCTCTATTGGTTCCTTGTTTATCATCTTCTATTAGTCCATTTTCAGAATCACTCTTCCTTCTCTTGATCTGAATATGATCTAAATCACTGGATTTGTTACTGCCACTGGTAAGTCTGATTTTTCTCCTTTCAAAATTCACAGCATCAGGGGGTGGCTTCAACCTGTCACCAATTCCTAAACCAACTCTAGGCTGAGCAGAACTTGCTTCTCCAAATCCAATGGATACACCACTGCTATAAAATTAATACACATAATGAAAAATAAATGAAATTATTTCTAATATAAATATGTCTGGCACAGAAATTCTCAACTCACTGGGTTTCTTGAGGCTTTTTCATATGACCTTCTCTTTTCTTTTGCAACTTGGTCATTAATTTTCCACGACGATTTTGCCTGTATTTCCTCTGAGGTAACGGAAGAGCAATCCGTTGAAACAATTCCACCAGGTTGTCTTTGCGCATTACCTGAAGATGTTTTAAATTCATACATTTCTGTGGATAAAACACACTTGAAATTATACATTACATTTTACCGGCAAGTCTAGAGAGGCAATAGTAATATGCACTGGCGTCCTCAACTTACATAAACAACTTTATTTAAAAATAACAAAATGTACACACGTTTTTCTTCCATAAAGTGACACAGGCTGAGAAAATAGATATTAAAATACACTCTCCTCGGTATTAAGCGAAAGCATGCTGGTAGATACGCACCTGTTCTAAAACATGAATCAACGAAGCTTTCGTTAATAAGTGTGGCTGCAAGAAAATAATATCGGTTTCATCATTTGTCGACATTCTTCTTCTCTTTTCTTCAAACGTTCATAGGTAATCACTCCCCTTGCTTCCTGAACACTGTGCGCGTGCTCTACGAGCCTGTTTTGTTTTCATAAACATATGCCAAAACCAACGACCCAAGCGCGACAGCAGCGCCCAAACCATGCCAAGCAAAATCGGACCAATGGTCATGCACGCCTCCGGAATTCTTCCTATCGGTTCTCATTGGTTACCATCATTTCTCGTTCTCGTTATGACATGAATGTGGTAGTGAAGTTGATTATTGGATTATCGTCAATGACCGTTTACGCATATCAGTGCCAGATCAGTGCATTGGTAGGTCTCAAAAAATGTTTCTTGTGTGATATGTAAAAGAGTGTTTCCGTTTTGTTTTTGGTGTTGCACCTGACAGTGTCGTCGTGATGTGGAAGCATGTTGCACCGCATTCGCTTAATCGAGTTGAATTTCTGTTGACACTACGAATTTCGTTTACAAGTCAATTCTTGCGTTCAATAATACTGAAAGCAAATGAATTCAAGCGCTCTGAATTATTGTAATAGTGACCCAAATGACGATTTCTGATGTTGTTTTGGCGGGAATGACGTCAATTACGCGTGCTACCTTACTAGTTACTACCCCTACGCGGGGAAGCTCGCTGTGAAGTAATGATCGAAGGTTTGTGATTTCACGTCGTTCGTATAGAAATTAAATTGTCGTTGATTGTGCGCAAGAATCAAACGTGCTCTAAGTTATTGTAAAGTGTTCCTTGTTGATTTTAGTTCCACATTGTGAAATATGTGAATTATTTTGCGCGTAGCCCTTTGAGAAAGGATGTAGTAATTACGTGTGTATACGTCATTTTGTTTATCGTTGGGAAGTGTCAAGTTGTCACGCTTATTGAACATTTTCTTCTCAGTAGGTGAAGATGAACGTGCTTTAGTCCCGACTAAGTCATGTTTTCTGTAAGATTAGTGAAGGCAGATTATTATATGAGCACTCCAATACCTGGACTGGATGCTAGATATTCAGAATTTAGAGGTGTTGAAGTGAAGCAGGTGCCAGTTATCAGAATTTTTGGCTCCACTGGTTTAGGTAAGAAATATACCTTTTGCTATATTGTAATTTTTTATACAAATAATGCACCTATATTTGCAAAGATAATTTGTGTTGACCCTTTTTATTACAGGACAAAAAGTTTGTCTTCACCTTCATGGAGTTTTTCCATATATCTACATACCGTATGATGGTTGCATTGAGAAGGAAAAATTTGTATATCAAATTGCATCAGCAGTTGATAAAGCTCTCAATGTATCACTGGGGAACTCAAATTCACGAACTCAACATGTGTATAAAGTAACTCATGTGTCTGCAGTGTATGTATGTCTAAAGCTATTTAAAATTGTAAACTAGATTTGGGTAATTGATTCTTGTATTAGACAGAGAATTTGTTAAGGACTTGCAATGCTGTGGTGCAGTGGAACTCTTAATGTCTCATACCAGTTGCCTTAGATTTAAACATTGAGCAGTACCTTGGTTTTACTTTAAAATATGAATACTCTGTAGATGCCTGCAACCTAATAATGTGTTTGCAAAAATAAACAAAGAAAAGAGTGAAATAGAAGTGCTGTCATAAATAGAATAACAAAAGGCAATTCAGCTAAGACTTTCCAAACTCTACTTACTATAGTTTTAGGAACAATATCCATTTTCATGGTTGAATTGCAGTGGTAAAACTTCATGAATATTGCTGGTCATTTCATTATTGGAAATGATATTCAGTAAACTTTTGTGGTTGCTGTTGTCTGTGTTATTATAATCTTCAATTGGTTAAACGTTATAAAAATAATATATTAGAACTCCAAGTTATAAGTATGATCATTCAACAAATTGTATTGGAGGTACTACTAGTGAGCAAGAGACTACATTGTTGTGCTATGATGTACTCCCTAAATCACAGCAACAATTTCCTACCTTGTCTTTGTGAATGTGTGTTACCTTGTAATATTTATAAGATGTATTTAATGATAATTGAGTTAAACTCTGAGGCAATGATTTACAAAATAAATGAATATCAATAAAATAATAATGATATTAAAGATAAATTTAAATACATATGACTGCACTACGCAGCAATGCATATTGTTTCACTAAACTATTCCACTTTTCAACAGCCTTCTGTGCCTTTCACAACATTTACTGAACTATACAACACAAGTTACTTAAGTTTTAACATTAGACACTTTCACATTATTGCATTGACAATTTTGAATTTCTCCTTAAGCACAAACCCCTTATTCTCATTCTTAAATGTCCGTGTAAGTTCGAGTACCGTAGACATTCCCTTTAGTTTTTAAAATATTATGCTCATCAAAATTATTTAATTCAGTGAATTCATGTTATTTTTATTTTCAGACCATTTTATGGATACCACTCACAAAACCATCAATTTCTCAAAATTTATTTTTATAATCCTGTTATGATAAAGAAAGCTTCAGATCTCCTTCAGGTGAGTGTTGTACATTACCTATGTCACAAGCCTGTGAATAGCATCAACATTCTTACTGTTTTGCTTTGCTTTTTAGAATGGTGTGATCCTGGGACAGGTGTTTCAGCCACATGAAGCTCATATACCATTTGTATTACAGTTTTGCATGGATTACAATTTACATGGTATGAGTTTTGTAAATTTGGCTAGTGTAAGATATCGTCAGGGAATCGTAGAAGGGTCCAATTACAAACCAGCTCCTTTAGAAAATGTTCCGGAAGAATTCTTGTTACCTGAGCACATTTTACGCATCAGTACATGCAGTTTAGAAGTAGATGGTGTTGCTGCAGATATATTGAATCGACAGGACATCTCAGGTAAACTGTAATATCTTTTCTTATGTGCAGTTGACTCTGGTTATTGTGAACTATAGGTTATTGCGATGAATATCACTGGTCCCATTTTACTTAAATTTCAAATGAACACAAGATTTGGTTATAGTGAACTCTGAACATTGGTTATAGTAAGTGTAGGAAAAACATCCTTAGAAATTAATTCACTCCTGAAAACCAATATATTGCCTCAGTGTCACAAGTTCCAACAGCTTAAAAAAAATATTCTCATAATCATTAAAGTCCCCCTGAGGTGGAGGTAGCAGACCCAGAATGGGGACATTTACGATGATCTTGTACCATTCAGTTTCATTGCAGAAATAAAGACCATGTCTTACGGGATGTGCAACTGCTTGTTTCAGTATCAAGCTTGACGTTCAAGGGACAAGGCACATAGTGTTCTGTGTAAGCAATAGGAAGCATGCGATGGCCACAGTCTCAAAGCTTAGTGACACCTGCCGTGTAGAAAAGCGATCTGTTTCACTTGCTGTTTGCACCATGACACTACTGAAAGGATCTCGTGTGGTACTAGATAAGTAATAGGGCCTTCAGAAAGTGAGATTCCTGTCCCACTTTCTGAGGGCCCAACACTGCAAGAGACATTGAAGATTGTCAAGACTACATTATAATATTTACAGAGAGTGGACAATGCAGAATTAAGTGCAGAGAGAGTGTACTCTGGAGAAGGATCTAGAGAAATCACTAAAGAAAAATTTGTTCATTGTATTTTGCTGTATCTCTCAACAAAATCAATGTTATAGAGAAATTCCATTTAGTTTTGACATTGTGAACCTAAAAAGTTAATCCCCCGAAGTTCACTATAACCAGAGTAAACTTCATACATCAAAAATAGATATAGAGTTCACATATTGCATTTATGAGATGGGCATTGCTCCTTAAATATATTTTATCTTGCGTGATGTTGTAATACAATATTCCAGAGAATTACTCTTGGTTAGTTCAGAATGGGAAGTATTGCAACAGCTTTATTGCAGCTTGAATAACTGAGATTTCAGCTGTAAGTGTATAGAAGAGGGGATATTTTGAACCTTCAAATTTGAGAAAAGGTGGTCTTTTGCTATTCATAATGTAAAGCTGCCTTCCAAGCTTGTAGTTAAGAAAAGGGTATAACAATCTATTTGACCTAAAACTTATTTATTATTTCTTCTTTTTATCTGTAGGTCAATTAACCAGCAATCCTGGCCTTAAAGCCATATGGGATGAAGAAAAAGAGAGACGACGGAAAGAAAATCGTAACTCTCAGTTTACTCCGCAAAGCACTCAGATTCGGCAAACGCCACAAACTGCAAGTGAAAAATTCCATCTTGGAAGATTGAAGAAACGCCTGTCTGAAGTTGCTTTGCTGGTATGCAAATTTGCTTTCCGTTGGATTGTGCTGTAAATAGTGTGCCACAAGAATATGATGGTGACGATCAAATAATAATAATAATTAAAGTAAAAACAGTGGTAATGATAGTTAGAATTATATTTACTCCGATTTTCTTTTATAGAAATTAGAAATTTTAATTACCTGCTGTTACAAATATGAGTATACAGTTGTGATTGTGATTAAAAGTTCATTGTGAAGATAAATTAGGATTTTTTAAAATACGTTTTTCAACTGGAGTAAAACCATTTTAGTTTGAAAATAGTTGCTGGCATTTTTTGTTGAATTCTTGAACTCTTGGACAATTCTCCACCTTCACTGATTTTTTTAAATATTTTCGTGACATTCTTGCCTTCTGGATTTCTTCCATTATTTCATTATGTTTTGTTTTTTTCTGAAATGGAAAGCATGCAATTTTTTTGAAATAGGTCTTACATTGTTAATATTTACATAATGAGGTCTTTCCTACACATTATTGCATTTGTGAGTACAGGTTCTTCAAATGATTTCCTATGACGTTTCTTAAAAACTCAAAAATTTTCTGTAAAATTAGCTCGAAATTGTGCATTTTCAGAAAAAGTCAAACATCATTTTCCAAAGAGTGACTCCAAAATTTTCTATTAAAATTTGCATACAGGAGTATGTTTTATCCTTTTGTAGTATTCTGAAAGATATTTCAATTGTACTATTAGGGACTGAGAAATTAAGAGACTGTGAAAAAATGTTGTTTTGCTGCCGATACATAGCAGATGGGAAGAGGGTGGGGCAGTAATAAAAAGCTAGCCTAGACTAAGGAGATAAGAAAACTAACTAGTGGGAGAAAGTCTGCCTTTCTTTAGGACCAGTAAGAGTACATATTATTTCTGATAATTTTGACTACCATTAACTTTTTCCCCCAATGCAGAATGAAAATTCAAAACTTACAATGGAAAAATCTCCTGGAGAGAAACCCAAGCCGTATCCTGCACCCACACCAGACGGAAATGATTATTTGAATGCATCAGTGTTACTTACTCATGTTAATTCTTTGTGCCATGAAAAAGAACCTGAAAAATATGCTGTAGAAAAATTGAATGATACTCGATGTGAAGAAGTGGACAAAACTGGGATGTATGCACACTCGGATTCATCAGATTCTGAAGCAATGTCCAGTCAGTCTAGTGTGTGTAAGTTTTATCCGCATGCTTATGAAAACAACTTGAGCTTAAATTTCTGCCTGGAACACTGTTATTGAAACTTTTTTTTTTTTTACGTTCAGATCAGACACTTTGTTGAATCGCTAAATTTTTCATTGTCATTTTTTAGTGAAACAGTCCAGTGCATAGAAGCCGCTAGTTCCAGATTTTGCAAGACAGTTTGGTTAATGTAAATTTTGTTGTCATTTTTAGTTGAACAGTCATGTGCATTAAGCCAGTTCCAGATTTTTGCAAGATCTGATTGAATGCATAGTGTCTTAGGTTCACAACAGCAAGAAGCTGGCTGGAGATCGATTGTTATATTTGAAAGAGAAGCGCATCAGCACAATGAGCTCTGAGCAATCATTCAGGATTGCAACGAATCAGAATCTGGAATTTCTTGACAGTCCCTTAATAAGAAAAAGATATCTTTATAAAATGCACATGTAGCTGCAGCCCCCCCCCCATAACCCACATAGAAAATGAGAAAAGCATGGTAACTATGATATGAGCTGTTCTTAGTCCGTTGATGCGCGTTTGCAGAGAAAAGGTTTGTTCAGCACACTCGCATTGTTTGCTAGTGTAGGTAAGATTGTATTAATTGCGAAGAAGGAATGCGTAGTAGAAAGAATGATGAAAATATATGGTAGACTTTTTAAAGAAGGCAGTTCATCGCTTACAGGACCAAGGAAAGTAACATTTTTGAAATAATGAAAGAAAAAGTGGATAATTGAAGTTCTTGGATCTAGATGATGATTATCATCAAAATTATGGTTTCTGTGACATTATTTTTTGCTCCTGCCATCAGTTGTCCATACATGGTGTTACTTTGATTTATGTCTTGCTGTGGTTGTCATTTTTATGGAACACATTTAATCTAAAATGTTAACTTACATCTCAAAAGTGTTTCTGTGTGGGTTATCGTGTTTTATACTTAAACGCTTCAATTGGGAACAATATATTACAAAGAATAACATGCACTATGTCAATTATTACTTGGTGCATTGAAGAAAAGATTGTGTCTTAAATATTAAAGTGGTTGGTGTCTTTGAATGAAAAAATTACTTTGTCCCGCCTCTACAGTATTTATTTTTAAGTTTTTTCCATGATATTTATTTCAAGTAGGCAGCAGTAACTTCAGGCTGATGGGACACATTTGTATAACAAGTGCTTTACTGCAATGTATTAATATTGATATGTTATCTATATTTAGATAGAATTATATAAAATAATTTGATCGTGGAACATGGAAATTCTCTAGGCAATGCAGTGCTTTGCAGACTTATGTTACTCCAACTTGGAAATGCATAGTAAATTATCCATTGGATTAGGGTTAGGCTAGGTGTAATCATGGAAATAGAAATTAACGAAGAATACAGTCTGACTCCAAACTACACACATTGTCTCTTACTAGTTTGCAGAAATTTGCCACCAGCAAATTGATGACCTCTCACCACTCACTAGCCACCAGTTTTCTGATTCCTATTTATTACGTAATGTCTGGTATTTTGGCTAATGTTGGCATGAGCCACAAGATATCAGTTAAATAGAGGTGATTGAGCATGAAGCATCTTATGTGTTAACAAGAAGTATGTTGGCATAAAAATGTATTGGAAATAACGCATTGCACAGATTCAAGATTGCTTATTGTAAATGATGTAGAACAGAACTTCATAGCTCCAACTCGAAAATACATGGCAAAGCATCCACTGATATTTGGTTAGTTGGTATCCTGGAAAAAAAGAAATTTAAATCATTGAAACTTAAGCAAGAAACAAAATCTGTAGTTTAGTCTTAGAAATTTTCCATTGGCAGTCTGATTCCAATTTATTACATACTTTGCTATCTTCATCACCATTAGCATACTTCATTTATCATAGCCACCAATATTTTTCTAATAGGCACTTCACATAGCTAAATTTTGAAGTAAGGCATCAAAGCGTATCGCAACTTCGCAGTTTATTAACCCTGTTTGTATAATGTGAATTAATTAGCTAATTAACTGCCATACTATTGCAATGAATTTAATTTCTTTAATTTGCTATAACTAGATAGTGACTGATCAGCAATTATTCGAACCCTCTTGTGTATATACATGAAAACCATTAGAACATGGTCCTTGGTATTTGGTTATGATTGATTTAAGAATTGATCATTATTTCATAATTTTTATAATGAAAGTTGTCCCGTATGATGATCAATAGTAAGAAAGAAAAAAGAAGAAAGAAAGGGGGTTGTTGCTAATGATATATACTTTATTCTATAAATTTGATTTCAATTTTCTATGATAAAATATTTGTATCCGTGACATAATGCTTTTATTGGTCAAATATCAGTGTTAGGAACATCTCCATATGAAGTTCAGTTCATTACTCTTCACAGTATTTCATCAGAAAATATAGATTGGTAAATATTTTGCATCAATTTCAAAGGCACATGAACTGTGAATGTTGATTTTAAAACAAATAATGCAATTAATAGGTTTCTTGGAATGTTTAATATTCCTTCTTAATTTGTAGATTTAGATAGGATTGATTTTTATCCTATAAGTGGAATGCATGTGGTAATTATTGTTCACTAATAAGTGAATATAATTTTTAATATTTGTGTTGTTAAATACTTGAAGACACATACCAACATTAAAAAACATTTAATGTAGGACGATGCAGGACCTGGTAAATTTATTTCTTGAGACATGGAAATTCTGCTAAATAATTTCATTACCAAAAGCCACATAACTAGTCACCTTGTCCGGTGAAGAGAGCAATGTGAAGTATAATTAATTACCAAATATTTTCAAACAATTGAAATTTTTGGTTTCCATCAGGTCCATTGTGGTTAATAATAAGTAATTCAAAACCATGGGTAAAACCAGGAACACATAACATTGAGTGACTTAATTTCTTAAACTGAGCAAACAGTACTTTCTTTGAATTCACTTTTTCATGATTGTCAGCTTAATGTAAACTTATTAATGCAACTAGAACTTAGTTACAGCACAATTATAATCCTTCAATCTTATTAAAATTTTCAGCTTTAATATTTTTAGTGATGCTACAAGTGGCATTATAAAAATAGAGAATTAGTACTACTATAAAAAGTCATTTTCACTTCTGAGAATTCTCATGATTTACAATTTAATAAATATTCTGTACAAAAAAATGTTATAAACTAAATAAATTTAAAACTTGAAGGCAATTTTATGATGCTCTTTATTTTGTTTAGGAAGAACCTTTTGGAGTCTTTAAAATCTACATTGCATTGGATCACAGTGATAATACTGAGAATTCTCAAGAAAGAAGGTTTTCGATTTGTTGATAAGTGAAGCATTACAAATTTTGCTTTCTCAAATTTTCAATTTAGTTTGTTGCATTTTATGTAATAAATTAAATATAAATGAACAATTTAAATTACTATTTGAGAATTCCTATGGAAATTTAGTTTTGTGCAGAAATTAAAATGATGTTAAAAAAATTTTATATCTTATTCAGAGTTAATGTTCAACAGTCCTTTGTCCTTTTCTACTTAAAAACAAACATTTCTGGAGAATTGCTGAAACTTTAGTGGGACAGTATCGAAAACCTAGAAATCCTAATACATATTGTACAAAGTTGGACCAATCTACAATTCTTGAAATGGTAAAGTAAATTGTAGCAAAGATATTGGATTTATCCGACTCCACTAATGATCCGTCAAAATGCATTGCAGCCAGCTCTTCAAGAGAGCCGATTTTTGAAGCTTAGGGATTGATATGTGATATGCTAATCTCAATACTGCATTAATAAGTATTAGTTCCCTCAGTCAGTCTTTACAACCAAATAGAAATACATACCACCAAAT